TCGTTAGTTTAGTTATTATTATTATTATATGTAATTAATATCAGCTATATAACACTTCCATATGTAGTATGACATTGTCGTTAGTTTAGTTATTATTATATGTAATTAATATTAGCTAGATAACACTTCCATATGTAGTATGAGATTGTCGTTAGTTTAGTTATTATTATTATTATATGTAATTAATATCAGCTATATAACACTTCCATATGTAGTATGACATTGTCGTTAGTTTAGTTATTATTATATGTAATTAATATTAGCTAGATAACACTTCCATATGTAGTATGACATTGTCGTTAGTTTAGTTACAATAGTTTCCTTTATAACTATGTTATTTTTATTGAATTCTCTACTTTCTAGAGGCTTATCATGTCTACTTTTTGGCTTTTACAGAAGAGTTAACGTTATTTATTACTTCCTGTAGCCAGAACTATGTGTTTGTTAAAATAAGTGTGTTAATGGTTTAGACATATCATATATTATGGTTAGTATGTTGTTGTTTTCTTTGTATTACATTTAACGTTTTTATATTTTAATTGACACTATCTTACTTTTTATATGTATCTTCATAAGCATCAGTGTTTAGTTTTACTATGCTATTAACTCGAATAGTTTCAACAGTAACGTGTGCCGTCATATATTTATCACAGATGTCACGCTCCTCTGACGTCAGACAGAAGGAGTGGCTTAATGAGTTTCCTCGATCACAAAACGTGTTATGGAGAACAAAAACAACAACAACCATGTTATATCAAAGTTACGTGTTTCACAGAAATTTGCTTGTACGACAGTGTTTTTGTGTTTCCTAAATAAGATATACTATACTATTGATATATTGTTTTGTATTTTTCAATATTTATCGAGTGTAGAAACAACTTTCCTCGAATTAATTAAGAAAACGTCACGAAATAAGGAAAAAACATCACAGAAAGTCAGAACAGGGGCAGTGCTAATACGAAACTTGTCTCGGTAGAAACCACAAATGTCAAGTTACTGGAAATCAAGGATACCCATACCGTTACGAGAATTTTCAGCTAATTTATCAAACGATAATATTGGAGATAAGTATAAGACTGTTTAATTTAAAGACTTTTGGTTCATACATAGCCTTTCATCATTTTTCATGAAGTATTTCATATCATATTGTAGCATTCATTACGATCATTCCACTACCTCAAGAAATATGATTTGGCTGTTACTGTTTCATGAAATATGATTTGGAAAGGAATGAATCATTTATATTTTTGTAAGCATTAGAAATTTATTTTCTAAAAATCATTAACTTAAATAAATAACTTTTATATTTCCACAATATGGGATCTTATAACTAATGGTGTTTTCCACGATGACCCCTTTTGTGACTCGCCGTGTTACAGATAAGGCGACACACTCAGTATATTGGACCTCAAGCAGTAATCACTCAAAACGTTGGACGTATAACGTATAGTTTAGTTTTGTTGACTCAGTACGTTGGTTGTATAACGTATAGTGTAACATTTTTTGACTCAGTACGTTGGTTGTATAACTTAGAGTGTAACGATTTGTTGATTCAGTACGTTCTACGTGTAATGACTATGTTACTAGTGAAAAATTGGTTACACGACCTGTAGGCTGACCAGATGTCGCTGACCACAGATTCCCTATAGCATGTTGTTAAACAGTTGACAAGCTAATTGGATTCTTAAACACAGTTTGTGTCGTTTAATCCTATACAAATCTCTACCACTAAGCAACAATATTTCATTTTCTTTCTCTGTCGGGCTTAAAGTTTCGCACGTGCTGTGACCACCTGTACAAGAAGCAAACAGATGGCAGGTAGATGAGTCTGTCCCAATTTGTGACCTCCAAGCGACACTCTGGGGAATCAAACGAGGCGGCGTAATATAAGACAAACTGAAATACATTATACCAACTTTAAACCCAGATTGTGACCTCCAAGCGGACACTCTGGGGAATCAAACGAGGCGGCATAAGATAAGACAAACTGAAATACATTATACCAACTTCAAACCCAAATCGCTTCTCAAGGCAGTATGGTTTAAAACATCACTAAACACGTGACCTTCTATGAAAGACAAGATTGTAGAGGGCCAACCTATCATAATAATACTCAGTTTTTGTCTGTCCTGAAAATGCGCGCACTTTATTGTCTAAATACGTATACATTTCATTTCAACAGATGTAGTCAAAAGGCGGATGTGAATATACTGTAGTAGACATTTTGTACAACAACATATTAAAAGCTTACTAAAGGTTTTAAAAAAAAGGTCTAATGTTAGGTCCTAGAGTAACATTATAAGTTTATTTATTAATAGTATTAAGTACAGTAAAGTTTAGCCCTAACTACACTAAAGCAGAAAACGAAGACAAATCACAGTGTTAATTTATCTCTTTATCGAAAATAGGCCGTACTTAATGAAGGCTTAACTAATGTTAGGCCTAAGACATTTGTCCATATATTTCGGTGTCTGCGATTATTCTAGAAATCCTGTATTTAAAGAAGTACTGTTTTGATAAAGATAATAATTTGGCCGCAAATGTTTTGCGGGTCTCTGCTAGTAATCTATTAATATCATATTTTCTGTTTAGATAATATCTAAATGTCTAAGGTTATGAAGAGTTACTCTCAGATGTTTGGTGCAAATACATGGTGGATATGTGAAAATAGTGCGAACGAAATACATGCATAGTCTTGTTTTGAGCTTTTCATGGTCTCTACGTATTTATTAATACTCCACATAATATGATTCAGTGTCTGTGTGTCATATAACTCCTTGGTTTCTACGTATTTATTAATAATCCATATAAGAAGACCCAGTGTCTATGTGTCACATAACTCCTCCTAAACTTCTAAATGATGCCAGATGAATCGTCCCAGCCTCTAGGTTGGCACAAAGGTAAAACTTTTCATTCATCCTCTTAAGAAACCCGGGTATTTTAAGGGGATTCCCCGAACGCGGACCCCAAATTTGGCATTCAGTTACATTAGAGCACGTAAATAAGTAAGCCTACTAATTACCGGATAATTAATAACCACATAAAGAAACCAGCTAGTTTTTGTAACAAAGATATCAGATGGTATATTTACGTAAAGAAAATGTACACAATATAGTGACATCTTTATAAATTAGAGACAACCAGAAAAAACAACAACCAAAAACAAATACTGTTAACTGCCTGTGTATATTTGTATCCAAGCTGATCTTTAGAGAGTAATAAAGATCTTGGTGTAAAATACTCTCGTCATCTTGGGTTTATACAAATACAGCGGTAATAAGGAGTGTCTGATGATACTTTCCCCTAACGGCTGGTTGTTTGTGATTCGCGGTTTAACTCTGCTATAGAAAACCATTGGGCATAATCCTCAGGATTTCTACACGCGTGAGGTTGGGGTAATCAAAAGGTGTTAAAGACGGTGATGGCAAGTCACAGCATGAGGTGAAAGTTGGGAAAAGGGCCACAAGACCCATTAGCGTTGTTCAATTCCAATAGATTATGGTATTTGTGCTCGTATTATTCGCCAGTTCCATCAGTTACTTTCTGACCACTGGTCAGTTACAACGAGTGGACTTGCATTAGTTACCATAGAGATTTCGAGGGCATGATTATAACGAGTTAAAATCCTGTAAAATTAAGTAGAAAAAAATATTTAATTAAAGAATCTCGTCTACCAAAGCTCTGCTACTTCTAATGGCCGACCTTAAGGGCCTGGAAACAGAACGAAAAGAACGACGAAAGGTAAGACTATAATAATTATCTGTTGAAGTAATTTGGTGCCCAGCACTTCGCAAAACGACAGAAAATTAAAATTAGTGTTTGTGATTTACTGACAAACGGTTAGCGAGAATTCAAAGTGGAACATACTGAATAAACATCAAAACGTTTCCAATAAAACTAAGAGTTAAAATCATAAATAATATTCAACGTTAAACTGGTACACAATTAGAAACATTTTATTTAGGCCTATCTATGGCCTCACTCCTGATTATGACGTTGTAACGTCGAAACATTTAGAGTCGTCAACTTTTTGAAGGCCATAGGTAGGCC